AAGGTCAAATGATGATTAAGTAGACAACCTAACAGATGTAAATAATACTGGCAAGGTGATTGAAACCATCTCCCCACGTACATTTTCACACAGCAGAATCATGCCTGGACACCACTAAACTTTTCCATAACACTACAGTTGCTCATGGGTGCAGTGCAGGTAGTCTTCATTTAATAACTGCAACTTGGACCGCCAACTTGGTCATTCAGTGAACACAAAGTGAAATTTCACAGGATTGCTAGTGTACCTATGATTTTACTTCAGTTTTCCTTTGCTTTACAGCGCGGGTGTCAAACTCATGGCCCGCGGGCCAGATTTCTCATGTGCTGGCCACGCCCACCCCCAGTTTAGCAAAGGGGGGGAAAGTTGTGATACGTCATGTGATGACAATGTGATGGTGTGAGTTTGACACCCCTGCTTAAGAGCATCAAAAGGACACAGCCCCAATGGCTATGGATGAACCCAAATATGGGGGAAATTTCCAAAACTTGACTCAGATATAAGAGCAAATCTTATAGTGCTTTTTCCCTACTACCCAGGGGTGGGTTTCAACCGGTTCGCGGCGGTCGCTGCGAACCGGTTGGTCGGCGAACTCGGAAGTAAGTAACTTCCGGGAACGGCGAAGGGCCCACCAGCCCGCCCGCGCTCCTTACCCAGTTTTGACGAGTTCTGCGCTTCCACGCATGCACAGGATGCATACAACGCCTGCGTGATCCTCCAGGAGCAGCTGGAGCATCGCACAGATGCTAGTACGCATGCGTGCACCGTGCGCGTGCACGAGGACGCCGCCGGCCCCGTTCCAACCAAACCGGTTGGAACGGGGCAAGAAACCCACCCCTGCTACTACCCCACACTTAGGAATGCTCATCCCACTGCTAGGATAATTATTAACAAGGGAATTCATGTTTGCAGTTATATTCATTGCAGAGGAAGGGATTACAAGAGAGTAAGCAAAAACACAATGGGGAATACACATCAAAAGGATGTGCTAAGACCTGCAGTTTGCCTAGCTCATTCATGACTCCCAGCTACTTAAGGAAGAACACCAAAGCCTTTAATGTGAAACTGATTAGGGTCTTGTCAGTGTCAGGCAGCAGCAGGAACCAGCAAAGAATTCTAGTGGAGGAATTAAGGTCGCAGAGTTGAGCTTGGATTAGCACTTTTTAGGGAAGAGCTGCTGAGAAAAAAACAGCTCAGGAAAGGATCTCTTGTAAGGGGAAGGAGAAAAATGGGTCAGGCACAGGATAATGCATGCTAAAACTGACAGCAATTGCAAACATGTGACTGAGAGGAGACACTGCAAAGGTTTTAAATGTGTCATTGGTCACAAAGTTACTTTCTGATCACTATTGTCATTGCAAATGAGTGTTGTTTAAAGCAGCCTCTCCCTGTATTCCATTGTAAGTTTTCTGAAATGTATCGTCAGAGTTAGATGCAGCAGTCAATTTTCCTCATTTCAGCTTTCAAAACAAATCAAAGGATATGGAACCAAGTTTCTTTTCTTACTGACCAGCTTTAAACACTTCCATCTTCCTCACCATAAAGTTAGAGATCAGATCACCAACAGCTAGTTAATTTCAGTTATAATATTTTATAAGCTCTAGTTGCTACGACAATCAGACAAGACTGATGTCCTTCCTCTCTTGGCTAATTTCTTCCCAAATGTTTTTAGTACAGATGGTCCTTGACTTATGACCACAATTGAGCCCAAAAATGCTGCTAAGCAAAACATTTGTTAATAGCAATAGCACTTAGACTTATATACCGCTTTACAGCCCTCTCTAAGCAGCTTACACAACAATCTGGGTCCTCATTTTACCCACCTCGGATGGATGGAAGGTGGAGTCAACCTTGAGCCTGGTGAGATTTGAACTTCTGAATTGCAGGCAGCCGGCAGGCAACAGAAGTAGCCTGCAGTACTGCACTCCAACCACTGCACCACCGTGTGTTTTGCCCCATATTACGACCTTTCTTACCACTGTAGTTAATTGACTGATTGTAACTGTTAAGTTAATAACAGCTTCCCCATTGACTTTGCTTGTCAGAAGGTCGGAAAAGGTAACTACGTAACCCTGGGACTCTGCAACCGTCATAAATGTGAATCAGTTGCCAAGCACCTGAATTTTGATCATGCGACCATGGAGATACTGTCATCACACGGTCATAAGTGTGAAAAACGGCCATGAATCATTTTTTTTTTCACTGCTTGTATTTTGAACGAAATGGACTGTTGTAAGTGAAGAACTATATGCATTTCACTTTTTTTTTTCCATATGGGAGATGCCCAAACTGAATATGAGAGGTGGGGCAGCTAACCGCAAATCAGATTTGTGTAATAATTTAGCTGCTGGATCAAGGCAAGAAGGATCCAGGTTGTTGTCTACCATCAGCCACATAACTGTCTCTCAAACCTCAGATAATTCTAGAGGCTATTGAGAATTAAAACAACGTCTGGAGCTCATGGGGAAAAAAAGAGGAATACAATCTAGCAAGGAAAAACATAAATTAAGGGTGTCCAATAAGAGTCCCAAAGGCAACTCCACTCAATTCCTGTTTCAGCGCTTAGACCAGTGCACGGGTGTCAAACTTGTGGCATCACATTGCTGTCACGTGACGTATCGTGACGCTTTTCCTCTTCATGGAGCTGGGGTGGGTGTGGCCTGCTTGTGACGGGCCGCCAGTTTGACACCCTGGACTAGTGGATATTTTCCCTACTAATTGATCATGGATGAAGAGAAAGGGCAACAAATGCAGACATCATTACCATATTTTTCAGAGTATAGGACGCACCTTTCCCCCTCTAAAAGTGGGTGAAAATGTAAGCGTGTCTTATAGACCGAATCCGGGCACTTTTGGCCTCCCAAACCCTTCATGTTTCATGTTTTCATCCTCTCCAGCCCCCAGAAACACTCTGCAGTGCTCCACATGGCCCATTTCAGCTAAAAACAGGTCCATTTTTGAGCTCCCAAGTCCTATGCACATCACATTTTTGTGCTCCCAGGCCCCCAGAAGCACTCCACAGGCCAAAAACAGGCCAATTTTTGGCAAAAACGGACCATGCAAAGCACCACAGAATGCTTCTGGGGGGCTGGGAGGGCAAAAATGTGACAAGCAGAGGGCTTGGGAGACCAAAAATGGACCCGTTTTTGGTGAAAACAGGCCCAGTTTTGGCAAAAACATGTGGAGCACTGCAGAGTGCTTCTGGGGGCCAGGGGAGGGAGAAAATGTGATGCGCGGAAGCTTGTTTTCCTCCTGTAAATTTAGGTGCATCTTATAATCCGGTGCATCTTATAATCCGAAAAATATGGTAACCATTTAAATGATAACAGATGGCTCAAGAATAGATCAGGAGAATACCATTCAGCAGTGACACAATTGAGACAGGCCTTGGGTTATGCTGCCATTGTTTTATGACACTTCAGAAATGGGTGGATTGCATTCTAACTCAAGCAGAAAAATGTTGTTAATCACTAACTGGTGGCAGCGATGTTAGGATGTGGGAATTTTTATCATCTTTTTTTAAAAAAAAAACCTCAGTGATTTTGATTTCTTTCTGCCTTGTCTCTTTATCCTGCATGGATGGCCATTAAAGCGGTAGGGATTGTAAAACAGACAAAATGTACAGCTCTCAAACTACGTTCAGGCACCTGTATTTGTGTGCACATTACAATACAATGGAGCCTCATCTGATATTCCAGATGATCACCGGATTACTGATGAGAAAGAATATGAAATCACCCATCTGTGTTGTTTCATCATTTCGAATTAGGCACCTTAAGAACTGGAAAATAAATATGCATGGCAGAGACACGGAGGTGAAACAGGACTTTTAGACACAAAGCAGGCATTATTCATTTTTACCTTGGTGAAACAAACATATGGAGCTGTCAGGGATTGAAAAATCCACATTAAAAATAAATTCCTCACAAAAAGTACCTCTCCAAAAGACCTAACATAATTTTTGGGGGGCCTCTATACAGCCATGTTTTTAAGAAGAGGAAGATGCCAGAGGCTCCTAACCCAGAGAGTGGGAGGGCATCCAAAATCTGATCCACTTTTGAAATGCCCAAAGGAATGACTTTTTCAAGTCAATAAAACCATCAAGTTAAAATATAATTCCTAAGCTTTTTTGCTGCTGCAAAAAAACAACAACAACAATGAAGGGACGGGGAGGGGAGATTAAGTTGTCACTGAGATAGACTTTCTGCTCCTAGCTCTTTAAAAAAGACCTTGATTACATTTGAGTAACTTGCAGGTTTCTATAATGCATCATCAATATGTGATGGCCGATGAAAGGCAACAAGGCAGAAGATAGACCAAGAACATTGGTTTGTGTGATAATGTAAGCTTTCTAAATCAGACAGACCACCAAACTGGACTAGCAGAAGGACTTGGCTTGTTATCACTAGCTGCCACAGCTTTGTCTTTGGCACTTCAAATCCTGTCTGAACACAGGCAAGCTTCTGGCACATTGTGTCTGTCTGTGCAGGAGTAAAGAATTAAATTAAAGAGGAGAGTTTCTCCTGAAGGCAAGTCCATGTGCTCTGCGCAGTAAGTTTGCTCAGCATTGTATGATCAAAGAACAGCAGTGCAGTGCTGCAGTGCAGAGAGGATAGCACGGAAACTCTTGTTTTTCAGCAAACAAATCCCAAACAACTAAAAGGGCAGCCTACGGGAAGAGAAGAAAGGCTATCAAAATAAGTTATTATCATCTTTGTTGCTGTTGCTCCTTTTATTTATTCTTCAATCTTCAAAACCAAGACCTTCTCGCCCAACTTTTCCCCTCTTTCTCAGGCTTTAACATGACTCAAAGCAAAGAAAACAGTGTTTTTCCTGGGATAGTTGGTTTTTCAAAGCCAGGAGAAGACACCTGGGATCTCTCATGTGTTCATTGTGTGAACCCACCATTAAAGCTATAGCAGCATGACCTAATGACCAAGGAAAAGCAGCAATAATTCAGGAAATCAGGATTGCATTTGATCTTTATTCATCTCACTTGCCTTTGGAGAGTTGGGTTCGGTGATCTTCTCCTCTTCTGCAGATACAATCACTCGCATCTTTCTAAACGGACTTGAGGAATGAAGGCCACACATCTCTTCTGCATCGTGGCACCATCGGTTCTCCTGAAGCACTCATCTGTAGCACAGAAAACACATAACTGTGCATATATGCATATGTGTTTGAGAAGCTGCAATAACTGTTTCTAGAAATGAAGATTCTGGCTCAATCCACTGGTCTAGTAACAAGTGTGCAATTGCCGTGCAAGAATTGTATTCAGTACAAGGTTGACTGAAGATAGATGGGATATTGGACTTTGTACTTTTTAAAATTTCTGTATTGGTTGTGATGGGGTGAAATGGCTCAGCAGTTAAAGATGCTGAGCTTGTCAGCTGGAGAGGTTCGAAACCCAAGTGCCGCATAACAAGGTGAGCTCCTTGTATTACTTGCCCCAGCTCCTGCAGTTCGAAAGCATGCAAATGCAAGTAGATTAATAGGTACCACTTCGGTAGGAAGGTAACAGCATTCGGTGCATAGATATTTGAGATGTAGCCAGCTAGTCACCAAAATTGTCTTCAGACAACGCTGGCTCCCCTGGTTGAGAAACAGAGATGAGCACTGAGGAGCCCTAGAATCAGACACAATTGACAGAGAAATCTTTACCTTTATTAGTCGTGACACCGACTAAGATCTCTGTAAAATAAGTAGCCTCTGAATCTATGGGGGAAGGGGAATAATCCCAATCAATTTTCCAGGTCATTGGCCTTCATACCACAACTTCTGACTGTTTGTTTTTTTCAGTCCCTACAAACACCATTTATGGTGCTTAAACTCTTTTTTCTTAACTCCATTCACCAGAAGTATCTCTGACCACAGAGCAATACAGTTCCTTGCTATTTTGATGGAATAATGGATTGCAAAAAGTCTAAAATAGAATTAACATATTTGGAGGAGAAAACAATCCTTCTCCAAATCAGAAACTTATCATTTGGAACATCCTGCCTCCCCCCCCCCCCGCTTTGCCTAATATCCCTGCTCACTAGGGCTCCCAGGCAGTGGTGGGATTCAGCCAGTTTGGCACCACTTTGGGAGAACCGGTTGTTAACTTTCTGAGCAGATTTGGTGAATTGGTTGTTGGAAGAAATCATTAGGGCAGAGAATCGGTTGTTAATTGATTTGAATCCCACCATTGTCCACAAGAGTTCAAGCTCAAAACACTTCAATCAAAGTCAGAACAGTTTCAGATTTGGAAGGTGGCATTTTGAATATGCAATGTTAACAAGTTTAACACATCTTTATCTGCTTATCCAAGTCAATAATGAAAATGTCCAGGTCCGATATCAGTGATACCTAGTCAATACTTGAAGCACATTATTGGTGAGATGGGTGGCATATACAGTACATTTAATTAATTGATAAACACCTCCCTTTAATCTGATGAGGAATCAAGTCAGCTAGATCTCCTTAATTGCCAGGTTCTCCAGGCCATCCTTACATGGCTTACTCACCAAAAATCTCATGGAATACTTTGTAAAATGCTTTTCTAAAATCAAGCTATATTATTCCGCACACCCACTAAAAAGGCTGGCTAGTCAGAACATGAGATAAGGTTAATGCCCAGTTATGATGTCTTTTTCCTTCTGTTCATTCATGTCTGATTCTAGGAAGCTGATTGGAGAAATCCCTGCATTTTTCTTAGCAAGTTTTTTTTTTTCCCCAAACATAATTTGGAATTGTCTTTTTCTTTGGACCAAAAGAAAGTGATCGGCTCAAGCTCAGCAAACTATATTTCTTCCAGGGGTGGGTTGCTGCCAGCATTACTGCCGGTTTGGTGCTCAAAAATTTTTGTGCAGATTTTGGAAGGATGTAAGAATGAGTCAGCCATTAGCGGGTCAGAATCGAACTGTTGACAGTCAGTAGAATTAGCCTGCAGTACTTCATTCTAACCACTGTGCCACCATGGCTCAGTGCCAAAAGCCAAATTTTCAGCACAGCTGAATATTTATCTTAGTTCATCCTAATGGGCTTTGTCAGGAGTGTGTGGCAAATAAATATTAATAAATCAATACATATATAATATGCATGAATCAAGCCAAAGATCATTACAAACCATGTGAAGATTTATTCTCATTTTCCTCCTTTCCCTGAAGGTAAGTGGTTAACCTTTGCCAACCACAAAAGTAGCATCTATTAAGTACATAATCCATTCCTCTCAGAAAGGTCTGAAAAATTATCCCATTTTTCGCTGTCGAGATGAGCAATTTGTCCAAGACAAATATAAATATACAGAGATAGGAATGCATAGACAGACATTTAAATTACTTAGTTTGAACATCCTTTTCTAATTCTCAGTATCTCAGCTTAACTTGACTTAAGTAAAAAAAATAAAATAACTAGCTCTCTGTAGAGCATGTTCTTTCTAAAAAGTACAGGATGTTTCTATTCTACTACAATTCTACACAGTCTTTTTAGCACCTAGCTGTAAAATACATCACTGAAGTGTAAAATTCAATAAACATTTACTAATAGGATACTTTATTGCTCCAGTACAGTGATGGCTAACTTTTTTCTAAAGGCTAACTTTTTTCTAAATTGTGCATGTGTGCTTGTGCCCAGACCCACAATGGAATGGGCCCCACCCACCTGCTCATATACGCACCCCATATGCATGCATGTGCGTACCCCCCATGCCTGGGGGGATAGTTTTTGCCCTCCCTAGGCTCCAGAGGCATTCCTGAAGCCTGGGGAGGACAAAAATGGTCTGCCACAGTCCCCTGGAGGCTTTCCAGAAAGCAGAAAACAATCATTTCCAAACTTTTTAATCATTTTTCTGGTTGGCCAGTTGGGCCTGTTTTTCACTCTCTCCAGGCTCCGGGGGCCTTCCTGAAGCCTGGGGAGGGCAAATACAGCCTGCCCTGGCCCTCCAGAAGGCCTAAAATCAGCTGGCCAGCATGAACAGCTGAGGGCTTCTGTGCCAGCAAATATGGGTCCGCACGCCACTTGTGGTACACATGCCATAGGGTTGCCATCATGGTCTTAGTAGGATATTTGCAATCCTGGACAATTTTCTATTGAAAGCAACTGAAGATGAAGAATGAGACATTAGTGGTGACCACAGTTTCTAACACTTTGATTAGAAAATAGTTCAATAGTTATCAGTATTTGGATCAGAATTTTCAACAGTTACCATCTTTTTCGAAGTATAAGGTGTACCGGAGTATAAGACACACCAAGGTTTTGAAGAGGCAAATTAAAAAAAAAAAAGTTTTTGCACTCTGCAAACCTCCCGAAAATGGCCAGTTTTTCATGAAAACGGGCTTATTTTGTTTTTCAAAAAAGGACATGAATAGTCTTTAGGAGGCTTCAACAGTGTTCCTAGGGGGTGGGGTGGCCAAAAATAGCAAAAAAAACAGCAAAAAACAGGCCTATTTTCTTTCAAAAAAACGGCATGGATAGGTTTTAGGAGGATTATAGAATTTTCCTGGGCGCGGGGGGGTGGCGAAATTGAGCAAAAAAATGGGCTATTTTTTGCTCATTTCTGCCCCCCCCCCCAGTCCCCAGGAGCACTCTGAAAGCCTCCTAAAAGCTATGCATGGCCATTTTGGTGAAAGAAA